TACAACTGATTGCTACTGCTAACAACAGCAAAACAGTATATTGCACAAAAAGGGGACAAATAAAGATCCCACTACCTTAACTGATTGCTAAAGGAAAGCTTGGCAAACTATTTTAATGATAAAAATTACATATAAAAGAAATGCAATACTTAATCATCAAGAGAGGTGGGCCTTGTTTTTACATTTCTGGAATGGCAAAATAAATGATGATTTCCCCCCTCCTTTTAACTCATTCACGGTATTATTGTTATTCTGTCTCTCTCCCTTCTTCATATGCCATTTCCTCCCCCCCCCCCTTTGGCATGAGAAGCAAGGATGCAAACATCCTTGTATAATGGTTTTTGCTACATATTGTCACAAAACATAATAACGTAATTTATAATAAAACTAAACACCTTCTTAAAATGCCTGTTGGAAGAAGAAAGTCTTAATCATGCACCTGAAGTTCAGCAGAGAGGGTGCCTGTCTCTCTTCAGGTGGAAGAGAGTTCTATAGCTTGCGCCCACTACACTGAATAGACAGCTTCTTGCAGTTATGAGTCATGCATCTGAGCCATGGGGGACTGCTAACCAAGATCCCCCCCCCAAAAAAAATCAGTGATCAGACCAGGATATAAGGAATCAGGTGATCCTTAATATATCCTGTTTTTACCACTAAATATTTCATCCTGGTTCACTTTTTACATATACTAATTGTCTTAGCTATAAGGTAAAAAGTAAAGGTAAAGGACGCCTGGATGGTTAAGTCCAGTCAAAGGCGACTATGGGGTGCGGCGCTCATCTCGCTTCAGACCGAGGGAGCTGGCATTTGTCCACAGACAGCTTTCCAGGTCATGTGGCCAGCATGACTAAATCGCTTCTGGTGCAACAGGACACCATGATGAGTGCCAGAGCACACGGAAACTCTGTTTACCTTCCCGCTGAAGTGGTACCTATTTATCTACTTGCACTGGTATGATTTTTTTTAACTGCTAGGTTGGCAGATGCCCTGACAGAGCAATGGGAGCTCACCCCGTTGCACAGATTCTGAACCGCCAACATTCTGATTGGCAGGCCCACGAGGCTCAGTGGTTTGGACGTGGGTGGTGCTGTGGTCTCTCTTAGCTATATGGTAACAAGTTCTACATCAACTTGCTGCAGGGTCTCGAAGTTACAGATCTGGGCTTCCAAATAAATATTATATATTCTCTTTGCAAAAATATTATATACTAGCTGACTAGAATCTACTGCCACATAAGTTGTAAACTGATGATTTCACATGTCATGTTCACGGGGCAAATCTGCACACTGTATCTTATAGATGTACACCTAAGACATTTTTACGTTTCTACCTAATTATGTTCTGTGTGAACAAGGCAAACACTTGCTATATAAATGCAGTTGTCAGAGACCTGTGACTGGCTGCAGCTTCCTGTTGAGTGTTCACTCTGTGGCAATCTTGGACTTCTGCTTAATATGTGAGCTGGCACCAAGACCTAACAGAGCAGTAAGAATCTTTGCACTGCCACAAGACTGTGAACACACAGCTCACATATCCCCAACTGCTAAGAACTGGGGGTCTTTTTCCTTCATTAATGTCACACCAACCCCTGGTCTCTGTGTGAGCAAGAACTGTTACTGCAAGGCTAGAATATCCATGCCGATGACAGTTACAGAAATAAAAATAATTATTGTATAAAGTATCCTTCATCCTACACTATTACCCCTAGTGAATTGGGTTCAGAATGTCTTCTGTCTGCCTGTACTCTACACCTGCCTGCATATGCAATACTCCAATCAGAGAAAGATTTTTTTTTTAATCCTGTTAAACCCCAGTATTTAATTTCATATTGTAGTCATGTTTCAAACTTACTTGGACTTTACTGGGCCAAGATGCCCAGTAAAGTTATTTTTACCAGCTTGTGTAATATGCCTATCACTGTAATACTCAGCAAATACGTAATGAAGGAGACAAGAGCTGAAAGTATACACATTTACATTCCAAAATCTGCAAAGCCATAATGCAAGGCCTGCAAACCTTTTATCATCCTTGATCATTGGCAAGGGTTGAGGAGTGCTCCATACTGGCAACCCCTGAACTAATGCATATTCATAGGCTATGGAAAAGTGCCCTAGTATTATTTTTTTAATGAAGCAATTGATTACTTCTTATCTTCCTATTACTAAGATTATTACTCTTACTAACACCTTCGCCCACTTGCCCTTTTACCCAGTCAGAAACAAACTCTCCCCAAGCTGCTTTTCCAGACATAATAGAAAAGTGACTGATAGCTATAAAAGCAGCTTCCATATCTTTTCTTCCACAAGCAATTTCAAGCAAAACAACAGCTAGGTGTGAAAGGGTTAATCAGCACCCCTGCCATTCCTTTGGCCAAACTCTCAGCATACAGCTTTTTAAAACACACACACAGATACCTGTCAAAAACTAGACACAGTGCAACATCTAGTTTGGCCCTCAGTTCAACTTTTCAATAGTCATCTTTAATCATTCTGTTTCAAGTCAACCCATTATTAGCACTAAAGAAGCTGTCTCACACCAGAGGTATGGAATACATTCGAGGATTGCTGCTCCACTGAATACTGCTTCTGTATATCTAGTCTTTTCAAAAGTAAGTCCATAGGGGACCTTTTATGTCTTTGGGAAGAAGAAACCATCACTCAGTGATAGAGCACATGCTTTGCATACAGAAGTCCACAGTTCCAACTCCTGACCTATCCACTTGAAAGAGATGCATTTGTGGCAGGACTAGCATAGACTAACTGAGACCCAGGAGTGTGGATGTGAGTCAAAGCAGACAGCAGTGGTCTAAATGAATCAATGACCTGATTCAGGACATATAAAACTAGTAATGGTTGCATTTGTACACAAAACTAAGATGTAAAAACATGATTTATTAAGCCATACTGTGCGCGCAGCCACACTTTGCTCTTCCCTTCCATGAGCAGGTAAACAAACCTTGCAGAGGGTAGCTTAGTGTAACTTCCAAACCCAGGACTGTGGTTTGCTTTGCCCTAAAAAAACCCATGATTGCTAAGTCTACAACAAACCATGACTTCAAGCTGGCTAGTGATCATAGTTACCACACTTCGGGTTCTGATGCAACCGCAAGCTAGCCTCTTTGTGATTTACGGTATTTATCACGAAGGGAGGAGTGAAGTGGGGCTGCTCAGGCTACATGGGACAGCACTGAATTCATCCACAGCGCAGCTTGATAAACCATACATTAGTGTTACTTTCAAATGTGGCCTTCACCACAAATGCTTGGTGACAAAATTTTCAAAAACTTTCAACAAAAACTGAATTCCTCTTTTAAAAAATGCAAACTTTACAAAGGCAATGGAAGAGCAGGCCATTTTTCAAATTATACATTACTAAGAGAAAACTAAAAAGGTGGTTTGAGCTGTTAATCTGAAGTCTAATAAGATGGTTCCTTGAACACATTTTAGACTAAGCTATTGATGCAACACTTTGCTAGCTGATAATGCTTGCCAAGTTCTTCCTTACTTCTTTAGGGAATCAAGTACCAACATTCCTTGGAGGGCAAATTGCATAATCGTGTACATTTCCTTTCAAGGTGCAGACTTTTAAACCAGAGTTCTATATGCACTTGCTTGTTAAGATTTGTTAAAAATTGCTTTTCATCACATAATTCAAATATGAACCTTCTGCCTAGCTCTTACTTTAAAAAAAACACCCCAAACCCATTGCTGCATGTACAGTGAATGTACCACTTAAGATTTATTACCTACAAGCAGGATGATTTACTCTAAATGTCAGGGGTCAATTGTACAAGGTCATTTTTTAAAATAGTGCAATACAAATACATCCTTTCAAATTCAGTTATAGAATATTTTCTTGCTAAGACTGCAATGCAAGTACTCCATAATATTCCCCACCATATAATTTCACATAATATTATGAATATATGTTTCGGATAGTGCAATCCGTATCATTTTCCAGCAATCTATCCTTATCATTCTTGCAAAACGGGTTTTCCTAGAACTCATCAATTCCACGTTCCTAACCAAAGAATTAATTTACAATTGAGAGTACTGTTAGAGCTTTGTAGGATTATGGTTTGAAATGTTTATTTTCCATTAATAGGTTCTACAATCATGGAAATATTGTCCTACATAAGGGAATTTGAAAGAGAGAAAAGAATTGGAAAGCTATTGGAAAATGAAATAAATAAATAAAACCAGCAGGTGGCAGCTGCAACTAGCGAGAAGCATGAATTGGCCCTCAAAAACAATTTGTATTGAAATAAATACTCGGGAAGCATTGTATTAATTTGTACACCAATACATTTCTTTTTCATTTTGTATCCCACTATTCAGCATTAATGCTTCCAAAGCAGCTGCTTACAAAATAAAAGATTAAAAACCAGTACAATGTTGCATTTATAGAACACTCATGTAACAAATCAATATGGCTTTCAAGAGATACTTTTGTCAGGTCACATCTATGGCAAATACCTACGTCCCACATACTTCTTGAAACAGCAAAGCAAACTAATCCAAATGTCAAACCAATTCCCCACTACTTTTGTCATGATGGGGTCTCCTTCAGAAGTTATGGGCTTTGCCTATGTGGAGAACCCTTAGAGGACGCGATGGTATCTGATCTAGATGAGATACACTTTGCATTCATAGGTGATCACAGGCCAAGTAGCTAGAAATATTTCCAAGAATATTTGAGAATCATTGGATGGGGAATGCATATATGGTTCCTAACTGGATCTCTCCACTCAAGACACCCTAAAATAAATGCTTATAATGCCACAGCAATCTAGGTCAAGCCAATAAGCCTGTTTCATTCCAGTGCCTCCTCCAAACTGTGGAACCGAGTTATCTTCCGAGGGTCACACTATGCAATTCCACTGTAAAAAATGTAATTGAAACCCGCACTTGCACCATTTTGGCCAATATGAATATTAGCTAACAAAATGTTTCTGGTTTGTGTCACTGGAGCAAGGAATAAAATGCTTTGAAATGACTTACCTTGAGGTTGCAATTTCCACTTTAGTTCTTGCCATGGCAGATGCCCGCTGGGCACCCTCAAGGGCACGCTCCACCTTTTCTTTAGTTTTTGTGTTTCTTATGGGTATAAGCTGCTTCCTTATTCCACGGACCAAAACATTGTTTTTATACTTTCCCTCTTCCTTGGTGCCATCTGGAAACATGGTACATCCATATCCATGCCTCTTATTATTTAGCCACTCCCCTTCGTATTTCATACCATTTGAGCGCTCACTTATACCGAATCCGCTGCGCTTGTCATTCTTCCATTCGCCCATGTACGTTTCTGTTGTGGTGGCATCAACGTGGTCTTCCGCTGGGCAGTAATCACAATCCCCATCTCCAAAACTAATGGTAGAATTGGCATCGCTAGAGCTAATCCTACTTATAGCAGCATCGCTCCTGACAGAGCTGCGTTTGCTAGAAATCGACGATTTTGATTCGGATTTTCTAAGTTTTATACTACCGAGAAGGGATCCTCTTCTGAACAAGCCTCCTTTCTTCTTACCACCAATTCCTTCAAGATCACTGTGAAAATTCAACACAAACCCTCCTCTTGTTCCAGCAGGGCTGTCCAAAGTAATATCATGTAGAATAGTGCCATTGCTCTGCTCACTACGCAGTGACGCTAGAGATGTCCGGAGGGGAGAACGGATCACAGTTGCCATGCCATAGGGGACACTTTGCCGCATGCCATAGCCATGCCTCATCCCTCCTGTCCACTGTCCCTGGTATGTACCTTTCCAAAGAAATAAGAAGAAACAAGGAAAATGAATAAACATCTAACAATTTTAGTTTGTCAGCAGTGCTGGAAATTCATCTTGCATACTTTCACCACTAAACTATAAGCACGGCCTAAAAAGGCTTCTTCTCTCCCCCCGCCCCCGAGTGATTTAAATAGAAAATAACAAAAAGCCTGAACAAATTAGGAACTGATCCATGATTATATATATCATATACATTGCTTCAAATGCTTATTCTCATGTGGCATGGAATCTGCTGATCAAAGTATTTAAAATTATTTCCTATGTGATAAGCACAAAGACAAACCCGAGATAATTCAACTGGTGGACATTCATTTCAGCATGCCCACCAGAAGATAGTATTCACTTTGTTTTGTCCCCAGTCTGGAACCCTGGGATGGTTTTACCTTGAGTCTACTGGTAGCATCACAGGCTGAACTCTATGGTATAGCGAGGCCTACCAGTTTTCCTGCTCCTGATGAGACATGCCACCAGGTTAGAAATCCACAGGCTACCCTAAATTATCTCACTGGATGTTGGCAAATGATAATGAGGCATCAAATTTATCATAATTGCATCCATTGGGAATGACTCATGTACAAAGGCACCCTTCATAGAACTCAGTGAATGTTGGTCACAATGTATATGAGCCATTAACTTGTTATGCCCTCATAACAACCCTATTTGGCTATGGGACCACAGCAATAAGCCTTTGCCTGCTGCTTTTTACTGTCAAAGAGCAGGGGCTTATCTCTCATCTTAGCACTGCAGTACTAAGTTTTAATATGAGAGATAACAGATCTCCACACCTAACACATGGCTTGCCCCAAAGAGCCTCACAGGCCAAATTTGGAGGCCTGGCAGGCCTAATTTGAACCATGGGCCACCAGATCTCCATTGTTGTTAACAGCATCATGGTGTAATGGTAAGTAAGTAATTACGTTTACTCAGTGAGCTTCATGTCTGAAGCTTCATTCCCAAGACCATTGAGAAAGCTTCTTGCATCTAAACCCCAATGCCTTTAAATTCAACTAATTTAAAGCACTGGGATTTAAATTAGTTGCAACTAACATGTTCTATTGCCTTCAATGATATGTGAAAGACAATGCTGAACTTGTTCACTCGGGCCCATCGATTTTAAAAGAGATTTACTCTCATGTGAGCATGCATACAATTGCAGCCTTACTCATCCCAAACTTTCGATAATTTGGGGATAACATGTATTGTCGGACACTTTCTTGGAGCAATGAAGCCTCTCTGCCTGTGATTTTGAGTGGTCATACAATTAGCTTATGCATATCTTGACGTACATTTTTTACATATGGTTTCCTATTTCATTTTCTGTTGACAGTGCTGATTTATCATTCCCATTTTTTTAAACCATCAATCAACGCAACAAAATTTATCAAAAAAGTTTCAGCCTAGATTTAAAATGTTTTTGCTATACATTTTTGTATTTCATTTCTTTAAGTTGTTACTTAATATACAGCAGGCTTTAGGATTACAGCACACATATTTTATTGCATATCCTAGGTGCAGAAAAAAAAATAAAATTTGTGTCACCTGAAAAGTATTTTAAGAAACATTCCAGTACCCAGATCTGAACACTCCTGGCCAATTATGAATCATACTCAAAGCAGACACACTGAAATAACTAACAATGCAAATAAGTCAATTGATTTCAATATCCATACCTTAGTTGGATATAACCCATAGTTTAAAGATTATAATATATATAGTGTATAAAATATATGAACTACAAATATTAAAACAAGCAAGATGCAGATTAGGGTTCTCTTTTGTTTAAAACAATGTCAACAAACTACAAAAACCCATTTGAAATAAACATTTGATGTTTTAGCAAATGTATTCCTTAGGAATAAAATATTTATCTTTCATAGTTAATGTTTACTTTTTATTCTCACATATTGTTCTTCCAACAGCTGAGAAAAAGCGGCCACCCACAAACACGACAGAAAGGCATGTTTGGTACTTCTCATTAATGACATCTAACACACAAACTTTAGATTTTAAAGCACACACCATCCCACCCTGCAGATCACTATACAATCCAGCCTTGCAAACAAAATTGCATGGCCAGTTGGATGAGAATTAGGAATTGGTCTTTTGACAAAAGAACTCTGACGCTGTAGTCCTGCACTGAGAAAACCTTACTACAGTCAAACTAACTTCCAAGTAAACCTGCACAGAGGATTGTGCTGAACATTTTCCATTAAAAATGTTGCTAGTCTCTATTTAACACAAAGGATATGCTGAAGCACCACTCAGATTTATGCTCTAAATCTAGAGATATCTACCAGAAAATTGCCTTGCAATGTTAAAATAAAAAGTCATATTTTGAAGCTGGCAATATATGGACTTTTGTTCTTCTTCTACCACCAGTCAAGAGCTAACTCATTCTCTCTGAATGATGATGAAAACAACCCACACTGGCCAGGTAGGCTAGCTGCATGTGGGAAATGATGTAGAGCAGGGAAATGATGGGCAAGTGAAGAGCCTCAGTGGCCACTTTCCTGCTCCAGAAACAGCTTTTTCTTTTCTTTTTTGAAGAAGTTATGGGGAATGTTGTGTGCGTTAATATGCAATATGCAGTTCGCTTCTTCGCTGAATTACGTAAGTCCCACTGTGTGCCAATAAACATGCAGAGAACAGGGCAGTTAGGCTAATACCCTAACTTAGTGGTTCTCAAAGGGTGTGGCAGGAGAGGCTAGCAAATGTGGCAGGAAGATTCAAGGACAATCAAAGAAACATTTGAACATTTCAGTGTAGTGTAGTATAGTATCAAAATAATTATTTTTATTTGCGGAATATGGATAGATAATTTTTCAAAATGAGAGCATCAAATGATACCTTTGTATATATACTTACGGTACATGTGTAAGAGGCTCGTTTATAATTATATTTTGGGAATTGTTCATGTTCTTCTGTAGCTAGCTGCATTGTTTTATACTTTCTGGATGTCCCCTGATCATATTATAAAGCAGTTGTGTTCTAAATCAAGCACTGCTAAGAGTTGTTTTCTTTTGTTTTCCAGTGTATTTTTTTATCAATTAAAAATGGTGTGGCATGCGGAAATTTTTATTCTGAAACTGTGGCTCATAAAAATAAGTTTCAGAACCGCTGATCTAACTATACTTCCCTGGAAGTAAGTTCTGTTGAAATCAATGGCAAATTCTATCCAAATGAAAGGCAATTGGATTAGGATATTAAAACACAAGACTTTTTTGTGTTGCCGACCACATTTTGCAGAATAATGTACCACAGCAAACTTCCTACATACTAGTTATGCAGCATTAATTGCTAACACAAGCAAGATAAACATGCCCAAGTTTTATTTACTTTAAACATTATTATCCTGCCTCTCCCATAGCGTGAGATGGTTGTGTGATTAATGTATGCAGTGTGCTGAAATTTTAAATAGATTGATCCAATTATACATTTGGGCTGGAATAAATCAAAAGCAGCTCAACAGCTTTAGAAGAGTTTTGTAATTGTAAATGGCAAGGATCCAGCCTATTTTTGTTTTTTGTACAGTGCTCAATATGACACAAGTACAGTATGTCAGTGAAACAATTTATCTGGACAAGATGTACTCTTAACTGACCTAAATGAACTCCTGTTTCGTGCCCCCTGTTATGCTCACTTTGCTGTCAGAAGAAATTAGGAACTTTCCCCCCTAGATGCAAGGCTAGTTCACATTTCAGATATCGATGGTAAAATATGCTGTAAGTGCTTTCAGAACAATAACCATCTTCACTGATCTCAAAATATAACTATTTGGCCTTGTCAAACTCATCAGTTATGGCTGGTGCACCAACTTCTTTTGATACAGATGCCCTGCTCACAGTTTGCTTCCGTACCCTGGTAAACTTTCAGTTAGACTACTAAAACATGTTGCACATGGGGCTGCCTTTGGAGATTTATTGGGAACCCCAGAATTCAGCTGCTAGGCTGCTAACTGTAAACATCTATAGTGATCACATCCCACCAATAGTTAAAAATCTACACAAGCTGCCAGCCTATTGCCATGCACAATGTGAAGTCCTGGTTACCACCTATGAATCTCTAAATGCCATGGGAACATGGTCTTGTTCCACACAAATATGACTATGCCCTCTATCCTTCATCTGAGGACCTTCTGCCCACTACTCAAGATTAACTGGATGGCAATTGCAGAGAGGGGTCTTTTGGTTTTTGCACCCTGCCTATGGCATGCACTCTCCTGGTGAGCTTGCCTGGCCCCAAGCTACTCCTGTTTGTCATTTCATCACATTTCTGTTTTGTTTTGGGTTTTATTTGTTTTACAGCAGCTTTTTATTTGATCCTTGCTTTTTGTTGAGATTTAATTATTCATTGAACACCCCAGAAGAAATAAGGGAGGATGGCCTAGAAAAGATAACTAGCCTGATGCCATTCTGGGGTACCAGCGCTATCTTGACACAGCTTCTGTTTAAACCAGAATGAGGTTTACCCAGTAGCAGGCGCAGGAGCATGGTGTCAAGGGCTAACGCACCACCGCTACTGTGTGAATTGGCCATCAGGCACAGAAGAACAAACTGCAAAAAGGTTCTGCATTCCAGAAAGGTAAAATATTGGAAGTATTTCTATCAGCTGGTAAAGAAAAGTAACAATCCTAAAAAACAGTACCGTAACATTTAATTCGTCCCTTGTAAAAGTTAATTTTAAATACTCCATGCATCTGCCTCCTCTAAGAATCCTGAGAACTGTAGTTTGTTCAGAGTATTGGAAATTGTAGCTCTGTGATTGGTAAACTACAGTTTCCAGGATTCTTTTTTGGGGTGTGTGAGCGTGTGTGCTTTAAACGTGTGGTGTATTGCACGAAAATGCTGAGGTGGGAAAAGGATGTCTGAAGGCAACCTAGGCAACCATCTAAATTTAAGTCAGGCAGCCCATACTCAGTTCATCCCACAACACCTATTGCAATTATGTGCCCAAGCAGATAACAGGGTGCTTACTCAAAAATGATTTAATACAGATTAGATCCCCCTTAGCTACTTAACATACTGTCACAGCAATCAGAGTGGCAGAAAGGGTGGACTTTCCTCACTCTTTTAATGTCATCTTATAGGAGAATTGAAGGGAGGATCTAATTCAATTTGGAAATTCCAGAGGAATATCTGTGGTTAGCATGCTGCGGCCAAAACAACAAAGCATCTTATGGTTAAAGGCTAACCAATATATTGTGGCATAGGCTTTGGTGGACAACAGCCCACTCTCGTATGTATCTGATGAACTGAACTGTGCGATTGTAGCAAAAAAGAAAAGAAAGGGGGGGAGGCATTATCTCTTGTCTGCGCCGCAAACCGCCTGTGCAAGACAAGCCGTTCAAATGTGCTAATGCTCCCTTATCGGCGCCTGTTTCATTCCCACAAGGCGGAAGATAAACAGCAGCAGCAGGGTGTCAGCCGCCTCTCACTTTTTGCATGAAGCTACAAAGAGCCATCGGCTTCGCGGCGGTTGCCACCTATGCACGGTGGTGGGATCGATACTTTTTACAGAGAAAACGGGACTCTGAGCAAGGCGAAACTTTTGCAGGCTCTCTTCTTCCTCGTTTGCTCCTCGAACCTAGAGCGCCGCGCGTTTCCTTTCGCAAGCCGGACGCTTCAAAGAATGCACCTGCTACCCGCGTTTGTCAAACCATAGATCGGAAAAATAAAAAGTGAAAGAGAGAGCGAGCGCACCAACTCGGGAAGCTGCCGAACGCAGCGCTGCACTCCGGCGACCGGGGATTGGACACGCGCACGTGTGGAAGCCGTGGCGCGCCTTCTCCGCGCGCCCCCTGGCGGCCGCTGCTCGCCCGCCCGCCTCTCGCACTCACCTCCGTCGCCGTAGGTCTCGACGCCGTAGCCGTCCTGCAGCCCGTTGCTCCAGGTGCCCTCGTAGCGGGCCGGGGTGGTGAGGCTCTGGCGCACGCCGTAGCGGCCCTTGAAGCCGTGCGACCACTCGCCGCGGTACATCCACTTGCCCTTCGTCTCCACGCCCAAGCCGTGGCGCTTGCCCTGCGCCCAGTAGCCGTGGTAGGTGTTGCCGCTGGGCCAGGTGTAGGTGCCCACCACCTCGAAGCCGTGCGCCCACGAGCCCGCGTACTCGCCCTGCCCCTTGGGCCCGGTGCAGATGCCGTGCCCGTGGGCCTTGCCCTCCTCCCAGCCGCCGCAGTAGGTGCCGCCATCGTCGAAGTCGAACCTGCCGCCCGTCATTCAGGGGGAGCGGGGCGCGCCCGGGCCGAGCTCGGCTCCTCCGCCGCTGCTGCTGCTGTTCTCGGGGCGCTGCGCTGCGTCCCCTGCCAAGGCTCCCGCGACAAATGCCAGCGCTCCGTCCCAGGCAGCGCTCCTCGGCTCGGCGCTGGCGCCCGCCCTCAGCCGCGCTCCTCCCCTCCGCCCTCCCCTCCTGCCCCACCCAAGCCCGGCCGCCGGCCGGCTCCTGCCCCGGGAGAGGGAAAAAGGCGGGAAGGGGAGGGGGCGAGGCGGGGCAGGTGCCTCAGGCGAGCGAGGCAGGCGCGCAGTTTCCGGAACTCTTGAAGCGGGGGAAAGGAGGTTAAAAAACAACACCACCTGTGCGCGCGTGAGGGGGAAGGGGGTGTTGTCGGCGCCTCAGCACAGGCAAAGGTGTGAGGGAGCGACCAGGAGACCATGGGGGGGCATAATACTATACGTTTAAACCACATTTTAAGCGCATAATATCCCCCCCATCCTGCAAAGGAAGCTGTAGCTTTGTGAGGTAAAGTAGTAGTTCCCAGGATTCTCTGGAGGCGAGGAGACAGGTGCTTTCAATGTGCTTTCAATGTATGTGGATGCGCATCCTGTGTGAGCAAGGAAGATGCACTTGTGGAAAGTGTTGAACAGGTGTTCAGCACTTAAAAAACAACAACCTGTGGGTTTAACCCCATAGCTGCTTTGCAATGCCGGTACGATTCTGTTTGGGCTGAGAGCATATCAAGTAATAATAGGCTAGGACAGGGGTCTGCAACCTTTAAGACAAAAAGAGCCACTTGGACCCGTTTCCGAAGAAAAAAACCCTGGGAGCCGCAAAACCATTGCGACATTTAAAGCATGCGCACCGCTGCCCTCCGATCTGACAGCGGGTGGGAAGGTGACGTCGGGACGGTGCGTGACTAACGCACGCACTGCCCCCATGCGACGTCACAGCCAGTACAGCGCCCGCCACAGTGGGGAGTGTCGGGGCGCACAATGCTCCTCCTCCCCTCGCTAGTATCCGCCCCGGAGCCGCGGCAAAGGTGTAAAAGAGCCACATGCGGCTCCGGAGCCGCGGGTTGCAGACCCCTGGGCTAGGAGCTCTGAGCATGCACAGAGTGCATTTCCTTCACCATGCAGGCTCTGTAACCTCTCTTCACTCATCTAGACTCAAAAAGGAAAGCTTTCAGTTCAGAAGCTTTTAGGCACAAGCAAGCTTGATCCTAAGTAGGCTCCTCCCTTCTTCTGAGGGAACTTGTCTGTGTGTGGTTTTTGAAGCAACCTGCTAATTTCTAAAATGACAGGTTTCACAGTTGCTTTGAACCCTCCTACTGCTTAATTCCCAGTTGTGTGAAGATAGCTTGTGGTGGGGACTGGTGCTGGAAGTTCGCCAGCCCTGGAGCCAAACTGTCAATGGCCTGGTTTTTCCCTTTCATACATTCCAGAGAGATTTCTGTTTACCTTAAACCATCCATTACCTTTAACCTCTATCAGTAATCACATGCAATCTTTCCGAACAAAGGAAGGTGCCCCAGTCACTGTATCTGATGCAATAAGGTGAGGTAGCAGAATGCACTGTATCTCACTTCAGTCTATAGGTGAGGTATGCCATTTGTGAAGGTTCCCAATGTTTAAAATAACAAACAACACACCTCCTTGCAAGTAGAAAATGAGCATAGCAGGGATTGTGCTGGCTAAAACAACTTCTTACTGCTGTGCTCGTTTTGTTGACTATTTAATCAGTTACCCATCTCACTAATTCTCTGAGAGCGTCAACAAATATAGAAACAGAGGTGATCCAATTGGCCTTAAAGGTAAAGGTAAAGGGACCCCTGACCATTAGGTCCAGTCGTGACCGACTCTGGGGTTATGGTGCTCATCTCGCTTTACTGGCCGAGGGAGCCGGCGTACATGTGGCCAGCATGACTAAGCCGCTTCTGGCGAACCAGAGCAGCGCACGGAAACGCCATTTATCTTCCCGCTTTGCACCTCCTTCCCAAACCCTGTGAGGGCTGGAGGGAGGGTGTCAAATGGCCTCCCACAGGGCAGCATATTACCAAGGTCCACCCCTGAGATGCTTACGTTCTTAAAATTGCTTGATGTAAGAAGTTTATCAAAGTGTTTTACAGTAAGAAAGTCCAAACTGTAAAATGTATAGGAACACACGGGACAGATCCACAGTTGTTTCTTATGGTGGAGACCATTTAAAAATAACATTCTCTATGTGAAGTGACTGTCATGTAAACTGTTTAGAGATTTTTTTAAAAAATTAAGTGGTTGCTGTGAGAATAAAATGGTGCTGGTGGTGGCAGGTGGGGAATTACATATGTAGGTAAGATCTGGAAGTAATAAATAGATGAAGTATAGTTCCTGTCTCAATCGAAAGTCAGCTTTTTGCATTCCCACGAAACAGGGCTTGACAAACAACTGGGTGCTGGAACAGTGACTGTAGAACAATAAAGATAAGTCAGGAGAACAAGGCTTTCTACAAGTACTGGAAATAACCTCTGTTGATGATGGCCTATGGCCAAAACAAAATAAACTACCGTACCTGTCTGTCTACCTTGACCTCATTGGTACTTCCTTCTGGGACTGCAAATATTTTTCCAGAAGTCAGAGCTTATTCTGCAAAAATGAATTGATGCAAAAAGGAAAGATGAATTGACTTGAGGAATGGGTAGGGGTCAGAGAAAAATAGAGGGGGTATTACAGAGGCACTGGGGTACCAAAATGGAAGGTAGGGAAAACTATGACAGGCAAGGGAGAAAATGGAAATAAAAAACTATAGGAAGGGGGCCTTGGAGAAACGGTGGAATGTAGGTTGCCATGGGAACGAGAAGGATTGAGTGTTCAGGGTGGGATGGCAGTTAAATGACAGCCCTGTAAGTGGAATGACAGTCAAATGTCAGTCCCTCTCTCCAAGGAGGAGTAGCAGTGTCCAGGGTTAAATGATAGTCTCACAAATGGAAAAACAATAGAGTCCCTGCTGAAGACATGTGTATTTTGTAGAACAATGTGAACTGGCATTGTTATTTGCCAGAAGTGTGGGCTGCGAGGAAGTCTTCAGTTCAAATCTTACCTTAGTCATAAACTTAATAGGAAAGCCAGCATCAGTCTCATCTCCTCATGCAGTAGAATGATAAAAACAAAAGTCTTGAATAAGGTAAACAGAGATAATTAGTGTAGCACCTAAGACATTTCCTCAGAAAGGCAGGCCTTGCCAAGGTTATGCACAACATGGTTATATCCAGGTAATTGACATAACGAAGTTAATTTCATTAATTTCAGTGAGTCTGCTCTGAGTAGAACCTAGTTAACACACACATATTTATTCAGATATATTTCTTGAAGTTTTTCAAGCGGAGAATTACACAGGTGGAAACCTGGGAAGTAACTCGCGAAGTCAAATGGGTATCATTTGTTTTTATTACATAGGAACACAGTGAGCTGCCTTATGCCAAAATCAGGCCATCTGTCCATTTAGCTCAGTAATGTCTGCACTGACTGGCAGCAGCTCTCAGTGGTTTCAAGCAGGAATCCCTCTCAGCCCTACATGGGGATGCCAGGGGTTAAACATGGGACTTTCTGCATGCAAGGCAGATGCTCTACCAACCGTTTTCAAACACATTGATTACATAGGGTTCTACTTTTGCATCAACCGTCATGTCAATCACTCAGCTATCCCGCTGTTTTCATACGCTTTTTGTTAAGTATTGTTTTCCTCTCCTCCAGTTTGCCCACATGTATATATCATGCTGGGAAGAACCAAACCCTTATTTTTCTCTTTGGTTCTGCAGGTGAGCTCATGAGTGGAGATGGGCAACAACCATTGAGCCCAACCTAGGGCCAATTGAGGCTAATATCTCAAGGATACTTACCTGTTAGCAAGAAATACTGGGTAGAAATATATAGCATTGAACTATACCATCTAGTTCATCATATTTACTCTCTCTCTGTATGATGCAGAAAGCTAATGCTCAACATTTTCACTTGAGTTTACAACATCTGGTTACACAGAGAGCAGATGGTTATACATCATTGCAGACACTAATATCTAATTTCTTGTTAGATTATATCCAAGACCCAGCCATGACAGGCTTTTTAGAAAACATGGAACAGAAGTATTTTGACATTGAGAACTGACAGTAGGCATGCTTGTTCTGGGTTGAGCCCCCGTGCATTCAATAGGACTTAGTGCATAGGAAGTTTCATTGTTTATTAATAGTACTGTCCTAAGCATGCTTACTCAGAAGTATATTTTGCTGCTTCAATGGGACTTACTGGATGTGAAGCCAATTTTCCTGGGCAGGGATGACATGCTTTATTGCAGGTGTGTCCACTTCTATTCTGGCGCATGAGGCCTGTTTGGCATCCTGCAATCAACACTGTCTCCGTGCTACCCTATAAGAACATAAGAGGAGCCCTTCTGGATTACACTAAAAGGCTCATCAAGTCCAGCATCCTGTTCTCACAGCAGCCAACTGAATGCCTATGGGAGGCCCTCCAGCAGAACATAAATGTGCATATGATTGCAGGGCGGCTTAATGCTGTGCTTGAAAGTCTGCCAGGTGTCCTTTGCAACATGGGATTGTCTGTGCATCCTAAATTTGATATAATCACAAACGACCTGAACCGAACCTGTAGGATGCAATAGGATGCAATATATACAGTGGTACCTCGGGTTAAGAACTTAATTCGTTCTGGAGGTCTGTTCTTAACCTGAAACTGTTCTTAACCTGAGGTACCACTTTAGCTAATAGGGCCTCCCACCGCTGCTGTGTGATTTCTCTTCTCATCCTGAAGCAAAGTTCTTAACCCGTGGTACTATTTCTGGGTTAGCTGAGTCTGTTAGCTGAGTCTGAGTCTGTAACCTGAAGCGTCTGTAACCTGAAGCGTCTGTAACCCAAGGTACCACTGTACATATACACCAGTAAGTCAAGATATAGGGCAAGTATGTAGTCTGCCCCTCCCTGCACCCACACAGACACAAGTTCATTGCACTTCTACTATTCAGTGGAGGTTTCTGAAGAAGATGAAGGACCATGGTTTCTAGCTCATTAACTTTCACACACCCTTCTCTCTTACACACACAAATTTGTTGGCATTCACCTGTCTCAAGAGGCAATGGAATTCACCTCTGGAGGTGAAGTCAAACCGCTGGAGAATCACAGTGCCTGCTGTGTCTGCGGAGACCAGTAACTTATAATTACTGCCTCCTGTGTTGTTTTTGCTGTGTTAGCAGCACCAAAGTGACCTCTTTGGGGTGCAAGCCTGGGCAGTGTGTATGGAGGTCCTGGGCTGCCCAGATGACAGTATCCCCCTCTCGGTCTCACTGATGTGGTCCAAAGGATAGCAGAGCAAAATGTTTGGCACTAGCTTTCCTGCAGGTGTTGCCGGAAGGAGGCATACAAGACGCCTTCCAACCGTCTTAGGGACTCCAGTCTGGATTTGTGTAAGACTTACACTTTAGCCTTTTCTTCTCCCAAAGAAGATTCACCTGGCAGCATGTACAGATTTTTCCTCAGAGTTTACTTCCCAAGCCTTTCTCATGAATGAATATAGCCACAAGGCAGAAAGGTTTAGGATCAGAGTTTTCCTTCTCCTAGATGGGCTGCCTTCCCCGGTTGACGAGTCCCACCTGTCCCTCATTTCTCTCTACAGCACCCACAATTGGTCTCTTCGACTCAATCCACTGGAGCCTATATTCACATGTTGGCAAATACCAAGGGTTTGAGACCCATCAGCTACATTTCATCTGGTGGTAAAGTCGAAGTTGTAAATGAAATGAAATGCCAACAGGGATAATAATTAATATTCTGCCTCTAAACAGAGCATGAGACATGACAATCACAGAGATCTGAACCTCATTTTTGAAGCTCTCGCTCACTGCAACTTGCCAGTGCCTGTACATGCAGCAAAACAGATGTGCAGGTGAGCATTAACAGTGGCAAATCTACAAGGTGCTGCATGCTAATACCTACAGAAAAGTGTTTCACATGTAGGAATTTTGCAGTGTTTGCAGCACCCAACAAGCATGCTGATGCTTGCTTTATACAGTTTGCTAAATATGACGGCAAGCCAAGATGTGGTAGGTGATGATAACCCAACACAGCCTTGAACCTGTATGACCCAACACTTGAGATTAGCTGTATTTTATAAGTAAAGAACAGGCTGCAAGAGTTATAGATCTATAATGCCTAAATATAAGAAGCGTATTAAATTGCCACTAAACCATGTTATTGTGTACAGTGGATACCTAGGGTGGGTATCCAGTTAAGATTCTCCCTCCCCCCCCCATTAAAAAGACTGATGCATGCAAGCAATTTTCCTCCCAAGTAAACTGTATGTTTCACTTCATCCTCTCTTGCTAGAAGTGAGTGTTGAAAGACGAAGGGACAGGCAATGTGCTTCTGGTGCCAAGGAGAGAGGAGGCAGCATGCTTGCCCCAGAATAGCAACAGCCGTAAATATGGTCATGCTGCTCCTCCACTCGGAGACCCAGATCACATTCCCAGTACCCAGTGGGGCCATTGGCTGCCAGGCATTCAAAGGCTTTGATAAAACATTTGCAAAAGTAGCTGTGGTTAAGAGAGACTTAATTCCTGTCCTGATCAAGCTGACATCAAGCAAAAACGGGAGGAGGGCATATGGTCCCCGAGCAGAGAGTGTTAACTTCTTGGGCCATATATTAAAGCAGCAGCTGACTCAGTGTTTCAAGATATGGGAGTGTGTTCTGCGTGAGAGCTTGCTGTTATTTGTGGCACTGACAGAAGCATGCAACTCCTTGCATAATGAAAAGCGAAGACTGAAAGGGTTCTTTCTCTGTCTCTAATATTCTCTTCGGTGTTACACAACCATCTGTGGTGGAAGTACCAAAGTGTTAACACAAAATGGAGTAGACAAAACCCTCTCAATTTTCCAGGTATCTCTCTCACTAATTTAAAAATGCTTTCAAATGGGAGAGCACCAGTGCTCCCCCCCCCGGGGGTACACAGGGGTGCTCATGCCCCTAAACAATGTGTGAATCTTTGTACTTTTGTCCATTTACTGTTTTTATTTTTCCTGATTTGAAGTATAAAATGGTGAGAGTACCCCTAAACATTTTTATTTTTTTTAGATTCAGGTAGGTAGCCATTTTGGTCTGATGCAGTAGAGATAGAGAGATAGATAGAGAGATGATAGATGATAGATGATAGATATAGATAGATGATAGATAGATGATAGATAGATAGATAGATAGATAGATGATAGATAGATGATAGATAGATAGAAAGATAGATATATGTCCAGTAGCACTTTAGAGACCAACTAAGTTTGTTCTTGGTATGAGCTTTCGTGTGCATGCACACTTCTTCAAATACCATTTTTTTAAAAAAGGAAAAAGGCACCGGAGAGCACTATATTTATCCACCATGCACAAATATTTCCAGCTATCTTTTCAGGTGGCTGAGAAATGCCTGTGAAATATAAATTCTAAAAAGATGAAATATATGTCTTTTTAAAATATCACCACCTCCAATCACTAACTCTTCCTTTGTTTTTTTAAATACAACCTTCAGTAATCAGAAAGTTACAGAGCATAGCTGCATTGACTTTGGAGCAATGATACATGAGATCAGTGATGCATGAGAAAAGAATTTGGTTTTTGACAACTTTTCAAAAGGCAGGCTGCCTTTATTTGGGGAGGGGGGTGGAAGAGGAAATTAGCCTTGTGAATAGCATTTTGGCTATTGATGTCAAATGAATTCCTGGTTTAGCCGCAGACTCACTGAGTGGCCTAGACATGTTTTCATCTCACCTATTTGGAAAATGGACATTCAGCAATATTGTTGTAGAATGGGCAGGATAAGACATGCTTATCTTCCTTGAAACATATGTGCTCTTAGCTACAAATTGCAAAACTTACTGATGGCATGCAATTCAAGTTTTTGACTGGATGCAGTCATGATGCAGTCTTGCCCATAAGCCTTGCTATCTCTCTTGTTTGTCTTTTTCTTCTTCTCCTCGTCCATCTTCTCACACTGCTTTGGTCTCCTTTGCTCTTTGGCAATGTTAATGGCTGTTACATATGGAAGGAAATCGTGGGTGGACTTCCCTCCACTGCCAGAAGTATGCCTCTGAATAGCAGCTTCTGAATCACAAATAGCCCCACATAGATATATGGATGGCCACTGAACCGGATGGTGGCCTTTGAACCGACCCAGCAGGGTTTTCTCATGTTCTCCCTACTTCTTGGTTCAGCCAGACACATGCCAGCATATCTCCCCCATCCTGACTCAGCTGGCTGAGCTGGGCCCAGTGGATCCCAAACTGGTGTTAATCCAGAACGAGGAGTGTGGTGAGGGCAGGACCAGAGGGGGTGGGGGGACTTAGGCTGGAGTCTAACCCTGTTCAGCTCTGTCATGTGATGTGGAAACCCAGCATAAATTAAGCCAGCAAAAAAGGTGGTGTAAGTCAAACAATAGAGTTTGGATCTGGTGTAACTTTACTCCGGTTCCTGGGAGTATCCTGGCCAGCCTGTGCTGGAAATCAGGATGCTGGACAAGATAGACCCAGCAGGGCTCCTCTTCTGCCAACACACAATCAAATAAAGGCATTGGATGCATATTCCATCATCCCCTACCTGACAAATGAAGCTCTCTTAAGCAGGGCTTTGGCCTAAGTGGGCATCATTGTTGGACACAGCCAGGGGTGCCAACCTGAATAAAATATTGTGGGGGCTCGGGTAAGCCCTGCCCCACATAATTGATCACATGACATAGTGCACACAAACCATTTGAATGGGAATGGCATACCCTCCAACATTTCTCTGTCGAAAATAGGGACGTCCCATTCCATAACGATAATTTTACTATGTGTACCCCACACATCTACTTTGGCCACCTCATGAGAAGAGAAGACTCCCTGGAAAAGACCCTGATGTTGGGAAAGATGGAGGGCACAAGGAGAAGGGGACAAGAGAGGACGAGATGGCTGGACAGTGTTCTCGAAGCTACCAGCGTGAGTTTGACCAAACTGTGGGAGGCAGTGGAAGACAGGAGTGCCTGACGTGCTCTGGTCCATGGGGTCATGAAGAGTCGGACGTGACTAAACGACTAAACAACACCCCCCCCCAACATCTTACTACTGGGTTGCCCAAGCCACTCTGGGCAGCTTCCAACATATATAAAAACATAATAAAACATTTTTTAAAACTTTCCTGTATAGGATTGCCTTCAGATGGCTCGGGGGGTCAGATAACTCCATACTCTTCAACTTTTATCCAGTGAAAATAGGGACATCCTAAGGAACAGTGGGACATTCTGGAATCGAATCAGAAACTGGGACAGCTTCTCTAAATCAGGGATGTCCCTGGAGAATAGGGACACTTCGAGGGTTCGGAATGGCCATCAATTTTGTGGGGGCCCAGCCCCCTCAAATATTTTATTGTGTTAGCTCCTATGGACACAGTTCATTCTTTCTCAGAGGGAAAGATGGGGGCAGATGCCTCTTCTGATAGTGGATGAACTGGGATTTGCTTTCCCTCTCTCCTCCTGCTAACTTTCTTTTCCCTGGTGTATAAAAGAATGTATAAAAATTCACTGTTATACGATACGATACGATACGATACGATACAATACAAATGATAAAATGTTTTCCCTTTTGGGTTTACTTTTCTCTATGTAATTTGAGAAAAATAGCTAGATGTTCTCTTGAGGATTTTCTGCTTTGCTTCTTTCTATGCTGATATAATAGTCTACTGTGGCATTGCTGAATGCACGTTGTTATTTCAGACACATGCTGTTGCCTGCTCTATTAATTTCTCCCTCCCATTCTCACACAGGGCACACAGTCAACGTCATTCTCACTTACAAGTCCAGGGTTTGTATTTTCACTGTCTCTTTCTAACTGCATATTTTTAATCCAAGGAGTCTTCAGTAAATGCTGCATTAGTAAATCTGAATCAGATAACTTTCATTTGCAAATGAAAATGCTGATTTGTGGTGATTACATTTTAAATAAAATAAATTGTGGGGTAGTGGAGTGTTTTGTCCTTTTAGGTAGCTCTGATTCTTCTGTGGACAGTGTGATTTTAATATAAGCATAATAATATCACAAGCAACAGGAAAATCACAGTTCAATGGGAGAGCATGTAAACAGAGTAGATCCATGAATTAATTTAGACTGTCACCCTAAATGAGTCGTTTCAGAGCAGGGTGACTCCTAGAGATCATAAATGTTTTCTGCTGAGTTGCTATATGAATTTAATCACAATAGTCACTTCTCTAATATGATTTTTCATCTAGTTATAATCATGATATTTTAGTTTAAGAGAACATGCATTCATTTGTCTGGTTAGTCAGCCTGAAATCCTTCCCACACTTTCCAGGAAATATGTTACACTGAACTTGTTGAGACTCATGAGGAAACATGTATAGGATGACTCTGTTTTTGCTCTTCTGCATTTCTAAGATGAAATGCAATCTAAATTTGAAGCTTTGCCATAATGAGTACAGTAGTTGTTTGGGATGTTTAATTTTTTTTTTTAAAAAAGAAGGCTAGGATAAAGTAAGGTAAGAACAGCAGAATGCATTTATCATTAATGTAATTTCATTATAAATCTTTTTTCAATTGTAGTCTTTGAAATAAAATCTCTTTATTAAAACAAAATGTAGCAATCCCCGTATTTTGTACTTAGTAATCAGATCTGAGGCTCAATTCACACAGGCAGCAGATCTGTAGGTAAGATGTCCAGTTTTACATACCACTCTCACATTGCAGATATAACAGGACCTTATGTGACTTGCCGAGATTACAAAGCAAGCGTGTAAGAGAGCTTGGAAAAATCCCAAGCAATTGCCTGGCGCCTCTCTTAAAGGCAACTACACACGAGAAAGTCCTATGGGACCCAGTGGATCTCACTACTAAGTATATTTAGGACTTGAAGGGTAGGGTCTTAACTTTGAATCTGGACAACTAGGAAACTGGAGTACGATATTCTACTTAAGTCATGTTATGCATCACGAGGGATACAAAAGTTTCTAACAGCAGCTAAATGGCTTTTGTATTGTATTTGTGAGCCCTGCTGTTGTTTCTCCATGTCCATCCTTGTATCCCCCTGTTTCCAGATCACATTTTCACATTTATGATTTGAGTAGAGCAGTGAGTAGTAGTAAAAGTAGTCTTTTTTTCTTTTTAAAGAACTTATCTGAATTGTGACTTCTTAAGCTCCTAGTGCAATATGATAGCACACAATATGACAGTCCAATTTGTACGGCACTTCTGGTATTAAATTGAAATGGTTGCCACCTTCGTTGCCAACGAATGAGGCACTGAGGGAGAAAGCAGTGCCCTTAAAGAGAAATCATGATCGCAGGTGCCTTCAGTTTGCTCCAGAACTTTAATCTGTTCATTATTCTAGACATTTGTTTTTGTACAGAATTATGTACAACTGGGAATACAGGAAGCACCTTCCAAAATGGCTAGAAATTCCCATGGGAAACATGGGAAAAGAGCCAAGCAGATTGCAGATTCCACATTGGTCAGTCTCATGTAGAATAGAGATGTGTTTGGAGTTGCAGGGTTTTGTTGTTGTTGTTGCTTTACACATATACACATGATTCATAATTATCTCACATAATATAGTTTATATGCGCATTGGGGGTTTCAAGTAAAACTTTCCTCTTTGTGTGTATGCCTTGCATTTTAATATATGTATTATTGTATTATGATTTTACATTGTTGTAAGCCACCCTGAGTTAGAGATAGATAAAAAGATATATGGATTCAAAATGCATATAATTGGTTAACAAAAATGAAAACTCATTTGTTTGGAACTTCACTGTAGGACACAGATAACCCCCCCCCCCAAATCCCTTCCATTTGCCCAACCATTTCTCGAAATATGGAGACCTCTTGTGGTCATTCAGGGACATGTTGTTTACTGGATGCATGTTCATCACTCCTACAGGCTGTGTGATTTCTAGAAACAGCAAGAAATCTCGAGGAATCTTGATAATAGACAAGAGTGTACTTCATCAGAAGCTGTTTCCTCTCAAAGTAAGTTAGTGCCACAGTATATGTATTTGTCTTTAAGGCAGGGATGGAGAACCTATGTCTCTCCAGGGGTTGTTGGACATCAGTTCCAGCTAGCATGGCTAGTGGTCAAGAATGATGGGACTTGTAGTACAGTAATATCCAGAGGGCCAAGGGTTCCCAATCCCTGTTTTAAATTGTTGTAGAACTCTTCCTTTTTCTGGCTACGTTTCTATAATTTATTCATCTAGATTTAATGTGTCTGATTAGTGATACTCTTGCATATAAATATAAATATAAATTCTGTTTCTGACAATGCAATCCTATTCATATCTACTCAGAAGAAAGTTACATTGACTTCAATAGGACTTACTCCCAAATTAATTCAGTACAGGATTGCAGTTTGACACTCTTATTAAGGAAGTTGGCTAATCTAGAGTTCCATCATCAAATTTTGGTCTTGTGTTTATAGATTTTGCATCACCATTTTTCACTTTCTGAATGTTGCCCTTATTCAGAACATTGGTAGGAGCCAGATGTAGACAATGTCTCACAATACATCCCCTATTGTATTTGCATATAGTCTATTTAACATTACTCAACATTGCTTTTTCTTTTTTTTTAATATTCTTGAAGGGCTCCCCACCTTTCGTTATAGGCTGGCTATGGTAGCCTACAGAAAATAAAACATCTCATTCATGCACACGAACAATTGTGCTCCCTAGGTTTTAAAACATATTTATTTTTATTTGTAATTTCCACCCTGCTGTCAGTAGTGCACATTTTATTTGACATCATTAAATGCATGCTAATGCTGAAATATGAAAAAAAAATATTATATGCAACCATCTTTGACAAAAGCAAGGTAAATTAATCAACATGGAGTGTAATGAGGAACCATTAAAATTCAAGGAAGGAGTTTAATCAATTTGTAGAAGTAGAGGAATGGAAGGCTAAGTTTGCAAGGGATTAGCATAGCCTCCTGTGCTCTCTTTAAACATTTTCTCTTTGTAGAACTTACCTCCTTTCTTAACATGTGAAAATCAGATAAAATAATTCTTGGAGGGCTGTCAGGTTTTTGCTGTCTCAGATAAAATAATTCTTGGAGGGCAATCAGGTTTTTGCTGTGTCAGATGTAAATTCTTGACTGGAATCATAATTTGCCTTCATTTTTATTTTTTATTTTTTGCAAATTAGAAAACAGGATACATACAAGAGAACCCTCTTCCAATTCTTTGTGTTCTGCATTTATATAGGTTCCCTCTGTTGTTGTTGTTCTCCCTCTGTGCCTCTTTTAAATCTCCCTAGGTTCAAACTGATGGCAATTTCAACACTTCTCCCATTTCAGGTTCCAAGGGAGTCTAAGGGCATCGTCAGAACAGTAGCTTCATCTGTCAGCAGTGAGCATGCTCAGTCCATGGAGCAGACTCAGTAACAACGAGAGAACAAAATCTCATAGGTAGAATCTCGGAGTGGTGAGTTGAGCCGAGAGAAAAGGTGAAATGGCAGAAGAGAAGGAGGACCAGGCTTCAGGGGAAATGCCTCCAGCTGAAGTGTATTTGAAGACAGATGACAAACTGATCCTCTATCATTGGACTCAGTCCTTCAGTTCCCAAAAGGTGAGTAGCTAGTGTGGCTGTTTCTAAGAATGTCAGATTTCAGAACCCGGACAGCTCCCTCTGTACGTTTTGCCCACCTAAAAGGTGGTTGCTGGGTGTGGATGGACACTGTTTATCTAAATGCAGCTGTAAGAATGCATTTGGAGAAGAAAGGAGGGAGAGGGGAGAGGAGGGAAAGGGGAGCCCAGTGTGCTTCTTGAACAGGCCTCAGAGCCCTTACAATTGTCATAGTCTAGGGATAGCCAATGTGGTGCCCTTCAGATGTTATTAGACTTCAATTCCCACCAGCCCAAGCCAGCATGGCCAAGGGTCAGGGATGATAGGAGCTGTAGTCCCAACAACATCTAGAATGGACCACACTGACTACCTGTCATAGAATTTTATTCAATTTAAAACAGTTAGCTGTTTCCAAGAATAAATAATTTGAGCAGCAAAAGGGAGAAACAATATTTGCTTGCTTCTTCATACATGGTTTTCTTTACAGAGACCACAGAGTGCACTTAGGAAATTAATGGGTATCATGTTGTGAGAATGTCCCTACCAGAATCCACCTGCAATGTTGAACCAAATTAAATAGTATGTTACTCATTTTCAAAACAGCAGCAGCAGCAGCAACAACAAATTAATTAATTAATGTTATATGTATAATGTTTTAATAACGCTGTTAGTTTCAGATTCTTCATGTGTGTTTCCAAACTCTATTAATAGGAAATATGTATTTTTAATAGGACAGCTGTAAAGCTTCGACAAGAATGTTCATATATATTTTTCAGGTGCGTTTGGTGATTGCTGAAAAGGGACTGAAATGTGAAGAGCATGATGTAAGCCTTCCACTGAGTGAACACAACGAGCCTTGGTTTATGCGTTTAAATGCATCTGGAGAAGTCCCTGTACTCGTCCACAGAGAAAACATAATTTGTGATGCAACTCAGATTGTCGACTATCTTGAAGAAACTTTTGTGAATGGTAAGAAGAGTCCTTTGGTGATTTTTCGTAATGTAAATGTTGGGCGTGAGTTACACCTTGCTGCATGAGGATTTGTTTACAGGTGAACAAACGATTGCCCAAATGTTACCGATTGTCTACAGATGCCCAAATGCTTCCAGGAGGGTCACATAATGTGCAGTTTAGTCCTTGTGGCACACTGAAAAATGGGATTAGGAAACTTTGTGGGATGGGTTTGGGATAAAAATTATAGCCACTCTTTGACATGGGTTATGATTTTATTACTCCCATCTCTCTCATAGTCCATTTGCCCAATATTGTCTACTGTGACTAATAGTAGCTCTCTAGGGACTTTGGTGAGAGCTACTCTCTAGGGACTTTGGCAAAATGGATGTGGGTAGCGCTGTGGGTTAAATCACAGAGCCTAGGACTTGCCAATCAGAAGGTCGTGGTTCGAATCTCCACAATGGGGTGAGCTCCCGTTGCTCGGTTCCTGCTCCTGCCAACCTAGCAGTTCGAAAGCACGCCAAGTGCAAGTAGATAAATAGGTATCGCTCCGGTGGGAAGGTAAATGGTGTTTCCGTGTGCTGCTCTGGTTCGCCAGAAGCAGCTTCATCATGCTGGCCACATGACCTGGAAGCTGTACGCCGGCTCCCTCGGCCAATAAAGCGAGATGAGCACCGCAACCCCAGAGTCGGTCACGACTGGACCTAATGGTCAGGGGTCCCTTTACCTTTACCTAGGGACTTTGGCAGGAGATTTCCCTATCAGCTGTTTCCTGATCCTTTTAACTAGAAGCAACAGGGATTGAACCTGGGATCTCCTGTAAAGAAAGCTTATGCAGTACCACTGAATGAGGCAATAGTGCTCTCCTACTGTTGCCTGAAAGCATGAAGGTTTGCAACTGAGCCTTCTCCAATCACAGTATTGCAGTGACTAAGACTTTAAACTTTGATCCTTCAATTTTGTTCTCACCATCATCTTTGTCTATCTATCTATCTATCTATCTATCTATCTATCTATCTATCTATCATCTATCTATCTATCATCTATCTATCTATCTATCTATCTATCTATCTATCATCTATCATCTATCATCTATCTATCATCTATCTATCATCTATCTATCTATCATCTATCTATCTATCTATCTATCATCTATCTATCTATCTATCTATCTATCTATATCTATCTATCTATCTATCTATCTATATCTATCTATCTATCATCTATCTATCATCTATCTATCTATCTATCTATCTATCTATCTATCTATCTATCTATCTCTATCTATCTATCATCTATCTATCATCTATCTATCTATCTATCTATCTATCTATCTATCTATCTATCTATCTATCATCTATCTATCTAATTTTTCACCCCAGAAAAAATTCCAAGGCTGATTCCAGAAGAAGGGAGCATGTACTATCCCAGGGTTCAGCACTACAGAGAGCTCCTGGATTCCTTGCCAATGGATGCCTATACACATGGCTGCATTCTACATCCTGAATTAGCAGTAGATTCTATGATCCCAGCTTACGCCACAACTAGAATTCGTAGTATGTACCATTGTCTGATGAGAACTCTGCTTGTGCAGTGTTAGATAGAATGCTTTAACTCTATTTTTGTGTGTTTATCATAAAACTATTTCCGTTGACAATAACAATACCATTTTTTAAAAAAAATACTGTTTTCCATCAAATTAATTTTAGTGCATTTAGGGGTTAAATCTGCATCAGTGACTGAGAGGTGTTTATACTAAAGTATGTCAGATATTGGAGCAGGCAGACAATGCTCATTTGGCAAGTTCTTAAATCAAAGAGTTTCTAACTGTTATGTTCTAATATAGATAGCTGTACAGAAGTATTTTGATGGACGTGGTTTATTAGCTTTTAATGAGCTCATTGTTGTTTCTTCAGGCCAAATAGGCAATACTGAGTCTGAATTAAAGAAACTTGCAGAAGAAAACCCAGATCTTCAAGATGCCTATATAGCGAAGCAGAAACGTCTTAAAGTAAGAATGGACAATATCTGACAGTCAAAAACCCAACTTAGAATGCTGCTGTTTCTTTGGATGTGATGTTAATGTGATATATTTCTTGTCATTGCATGTATGTATCTTCAGAAGAAGTCAAGGTTAAGGGGAATTTTTTGTAATAACTCTGCTTTTGTGGCCACACTACTTGCTATTACTGTTGCTTGTTTGTTCTATACTTGTTTTGGTGTTGTTATGCAACCAGTAGTGGGTTCCAGTTTTGCTCACTTTCTTTCCAAATACTGAGCATTGCTGCTTGTTCCTGAGAGGGGCAAGGCCTGGAGAGTTCAGCAGAGTGTTGCCTGGTGATCATGCCAAACGAACATTCTTGTTGCTGCGCCCACACTGCACTCCCCATATCTTGCCCCTCCACCTCTCAGGAACCAGCAGCAACACTCTGTGTTTGAAAGTCAGGTGAGCAGTGCCATTCTAGCTACGACACTCCACTGATCACTACTGCATGCATAGATGCCTGGCTTATGACACTATACTATGCACGCTTCCTCAGAAGTAAATCTCAATATGTTCAATGGGGCTTACTCCCAGGAAATGGGACTGCAGATTAAATATATGATCTACTTATTTTCCTTAGTCTAAACTGATGGATCATGATAACATAAAGTATTTACAGAAAATACTGGATGAGCTGGAAAAAGTTTTGGATCAAGTTGAGACTGAGCTGCAAAGAAGGAATGAAGAGACTCCAGGTGGGAAATTTTCATATTTAGTTCTTGGTCAATGTGTAGCTGTCTCAGTTAAAGCAGCATATTGTTCGATATATTGGCACTGCACATCAGACATTTGATCAGCACATTTTAAAAAGAAACTAGTTCATTCCAAGCACTGCAATTGGTTAAGTCAAAGGTTCCCAGTGTTTTCTTGTTTAAGCACTTTTGTTGCTTTAAGATTGAAAATTTAGAAATGCAAATAAACAAACAATTTAATGCCTTTTCCAGGAACAATCTGGGACTGATGGCTATTTGAGCATAATAAGAAAACAGTGACAGAAACATAAGACCCAAGGTCCTTCTCATCTTATTACTTTTTATTAGCCCCTAACTTTTTTTTTACCTTCATTCTGATTAGAAAATGGACACCAGCCTTGGCTCTGCGGTCAGTTTTTCAGCTTGGCCGATGTATCCCTTGCTGTTACATTGCATCGACTGAAGTTCATTGGATTGGCAAGGAGAAACTGGGGGAACGGAAAGCGGCCTAACTTGGAAGCCTATTATGAGCGTGTCTTGAAGAGAAAAGCATTCCACAAGGTTTTAGGACATGTCAACAACATATTAATCTCTGCAGTTCTTCCAACTGCATTTCGAGTGGCCAAGAAGAGGGCACCAAGGATTTTTGGCACCACTCTTTTGGTTGGCTTCTTAGCCGGAATCGGGTATTTTGCTTTGGTGTGTCTCCGGAGGAGGTTTCCCAATGTGCTGTCATCCATTAGAGCAAGGCAAAGTTATCTGTAGATGTTTCTTGCCAAACTGTGAAAGGACCACCAATTACACCAAGGATGTAATGGGCCACAACATTGTTATATATTAGTACAGGGGTTGCCAACATGGCACCCTCCGGGTATGGTTGGACTACAACCCTCATCAGCCAACTCTCATGGCCATTAGTAAGGGATGATGAGAGTTGTAGTCCAGCCACATCAGCGGGCACCATATGGCTACCCCATATGAGTAGATTTCTGCTGTCGCACAGGTACTTATAGAAATGAAATCTTGAAGAAAAATGAAAGAATAGCTTGGATCTGGAGTACTGGGAGCAGAAAACTATGGAATGGAACTTTCTACTGCTAAAAAAAATCTCTCTGGATGGTTGAGGACTCTTCTGAGCAGCACAGGATGGGGCATAGTGCTGGAAGAAGGTTGGATCACCCAAAGTTGTGGGAGGGGAAAGGACCATGCATACTGCACAAATGGTGCTTTGCTCGTGTAATGATTTGGGTCAACTTCTACATGATTTGGGTCAACTTCTCATCCTCTCAACTCATGCTGTTCAGGAGGGCATTTGGAGCTGCAGGGGGGGGTAAAATAATGGGATAATCTCCAGGCTTCTTTCTGCTTCCAGTACTCAAGATTCTAGCCGATATAACTTCCTTTTCAAATTGTGGCTCATATGGCAATATGCAGTTGGAAAGAATACATAACCCCCCTCTCCCATCTCTCTCTCTCTCTCTCTCTCTCTCTCTCTCTCTCTCTCTCTCTCTCTCTCTTAAAAGCCATTCCTTAATATTTTACTTTATGTGGTCATTTGGCAATTCAACATTTGTCATCATTCAGTGTGATCAGCCCTCTGCTAATCCACCACTTATATATTATGTAAATTTGGGCCTTCTAAATGAGGAGCTTAATATGTTGCACCATGGCTGGATTAAAACACATTTTCCTAAAACACCAGTTAGTTGAATGTACTTTGTCAGAGCAGCACACATTTAAATCACAATAGGGAAGCACATGAAAAGTAGATTGTTATTAGGAACATAGCAGATGGGTTTCCAAGGCACAAATAACAGTTAGGCACTGGACCTCTGTGGATTGTCCATTAGGAGGAGACGCCTTGATGGAATTTGTGCCTTGATTATTCTTCGCACAGGAGTGTCATGCATCATCAGTCTATTCTGAAGCACTGTGCATCATGCATTGGATATTGTGAGTGTAAATCAATAGGTGTGTTGCTTTTCTTTTAATGTAAGCATATTTTTTGTGCCTGTGTATGAATGTAGCCCATAATGTGCCTCAGAAAATGTCCTCTCCACAAATATAATTTCTTCAGAAAAGACACACACATGCATTTGTAAACAGATTTGTGTCCAATGAACTGTATTTTTCTTTCTGATTAAAATTGGTTTACCAACCAGCAGTTTGGTTATGAAGTCTTAGTAGTGTGGGGATAATTATATTTTAGATCTGGAAAGGGTGTGAAGGCTATCTGGCACTGGGGTTTGATATCCCTTGCTAATCCTACTCAGAGTAGACCCACTGAAGTTAATGGAAAGCGCTAACTTCGGCTGATTAATTTCAGTGGGTCTTCTCTGAGTAGGACTCAGTTGAATCCAACCCTGGGACAGGATCTTCTGTTCTGTGGTACAGGTCTTCCAAATATAAGGAAGGGAGGAGCCCTTATCTCCAGAGGACATCAGAAGAAGCCACTTGTATTACCCAACATTTTCCCCTGGAGGGGGAAGTGTTCACACATATGTGTGTAACCCTTAGGCTACATAAATAAAGCAGGTTGAACCAAGATGCACTGTGTCAGAGGTGGCTGCAGGACAGATGATTTGTTTTGAGTAAAACAAACCCAGATGACTCAAGGAAAGCATACTGTGCCATATGATGCAGGGAAATGCAAATCCCCGCCCTCCTGGAGCAAATTTGATTTAGAAAAGAGTTTGTTTTCAGATCACAGACATTGCATTGTCAGACTGTATGTGTAAAAGCCAAGAGAAAGCTTTCTCTGCATTTTTACATCAAACCTTTTTGTTCAATACTGCATGTTCAGTTGCACTAATCTTTGCTCTAACAAAGGGCATTGTTAAGGCATGACACTATATATTTGTTTTTTTGGGCACCCACCCTCCTTCCAAGGGCTTTTATAACCTCCAGAAGTAAATATCACCAATTTCGATATGTAGCCTAGTAACAACCATATGAGATAGCTTAGATGGAGAGACTGCAACTTTCCCAAAGCCACCTACAGGTTTCATAGGTGAACTTAGGTTTCACACACCCAACCCTAGCACTTTAGTCAACTGTTTCTTCAACTCATCAAACTTGACTTTCCTACATATGCTCTGCTTTTTAGAGCTCCTCATCCTAGACAAACCTGCTGATCATGCCAATGGCCCATGTTGTCCAGCATGCTGGTCTCACAATGGCCAGCTAGATGCCTCTGGTAAACCTGCAAGCAGGACATAAGCACATGGCTGACAAAGAGCTGCCGAGGGAGCTGCAATTGGAAAGGGAAATCTGAGAAGTCGTAGTGCAGGCAAGGCAATGTCTGACTAAGCTTACAAAGAAAACTTTGGATCGCATCCCTACAACTTCCAATTTAATTCACTAATGATTAGAATCAGAAAAGGAGATAGGATTTAGCTATTTTAAAAATCCCACTCCTGACATCTGTTTATTTCATTTTGGGCTAGCTGGTCATATATCCTATTCCATTCTAGGTGGGCGGGTTGTGGTTTGGCTGGATTGTCACTGTCAAGTGACATCCTTTGGGGGTTTCTGAAAGAGTCATAGAATCATAGAGTTGGAATAGACCACAAGGGCCATCGAGTCCAACCCCCTGCCAAGCAGGAAACACCATCAGAGCACTCCTGACATATGGTTGTCAAGCCTCTGCTTAAAGACCTCCAAAGAAGGAGACTCCACCACACTCCTTGGCAGCAAATTCCACTGTCGAACAGCTCTTACTGTCAGGAAGTTCTTCCTAATGTTTAGGTGGAATCTTCTTTCTTGTAGTTTGGATCCATTGCTCCGTGTCCGCTTCTCTGGAGCAGCAGAAAACAACCTTTCTCCCTCCTCTATATGACATCCTTTTATATATTTGAACATGGCTATCATATCACCCCTTAACCTCCTCTTCTCCAGGCTAAACATGCCCAGCTCCCTTAGCCGTTCCTCATAAGGCATCGTTTCCAGGCCTTTGACCATTTTGGTTGCCCTCCTCTGGACACGTTCTTGCTGGCAGACCAGTTTGTCTTCCTGTACTGCAGGCACACAGAAACTGAAGCAGCAGAAAGCAAAGACTTGAGATAGGCTGGGTATAGTGTTCTCTTTCTGTCGATGAGCAGTGTCATGGCACCTGACCCTGGGACCTTGCAGTGTGTGTTACCCAGCACAGTGTCGTCTTCTTTTTAGGCAGCCCAAGAGCATGAAGCCCTCTTATTTTTGACCCAAGAAAGACTCAGGACATATTTTTAATGCTTTATTAATACACAGTTCTAAAGCAATGTGGCACATACACACACACGTACAATACTGAGGCACAAATTCTAGTACTATACATTCTTTAACAACCCATGTGGTTCTTCTAGAAGGGCAGAGGCAACCACGCCACAGGTTTTGTCAGTCCGCATAAGGCTCCAGTTGGCTTCATCTCACTGCAGGGCTCACTTAGAGGTGTTCAAGGTCCTGTATTTCTTGGCCCTCTATATACCAGGGCTTCTGATCAGGTTTACTTAGGAGAGAGCACCCCAGCCTTTCCAACTGGGCAGCCTGTTCTGTGGGTGCTTGAGGTTTACTTGTGCAGTTATAGCACCTTCCCTATTTTTTGGTGATTGTATTCTTTGCAAATTTTTAAACATTTAATACGGTATTTTAAATTGTTGTAACCTTCTCTGGGACCTGACATCACCACCACCACCATCATGCAACTGCTGTGGGAAACTGCCAGGGCTGGCCATGAATACACGAGCTGACACACAAGACCATACTGGTTTTCAGCCAAGTCAGCATATAATGCAAGAGTTGCCAACCTTTTTGGAGCCCATTTACAATCTGGAGAAACTGTCATGGGTACTGCACAAGCACTGCAGCCATTTGTTGTTGTTGTTTAGTCGTTTAGTCGTGTCCGACTCTTCGTGACCCCATAGACCAGAGCAAGCCAGGCACTTCTGTCTTCCACTGCCTCCCGCAGTTTGGTCAAACTCATGCTGGTAGCTTCAACTATCCAACCATCTCGTCCTCTGTCGTCCCCTTCTCCCTGTGCCCTCCATCTTTCCCAACATCAGGGTCTTTTCCAGGGAGTCCTCTCTTCTCATGAGGTGGCCAAGGTATTGGAGCCTCAGCTTCACAATCTGTCCTTCCAGTGAGCACTCAGGGCTGATTTTCTTAAGAATGGAGAGGTTTGTTCTTCTTGCAGTCCATGGGACTTCTTGCAGCCATTAGTACCTCCAAAATAGCCTCTCCCCCATTGCAATTAGGCATGAGGTAGCCTTCTTTTGGCTACAGTAAAAGGCTTTTTGGAAGCCTAATGCAGCGACCGGAGGATTATTTTTGGCAGTGGGAGTGGCAGTCACAGCTGCAGAGGAGAGAGTTAATCATTCTCATCTGTGAGTCCCCCAACCCACCACTGTCCTGCAATTAGGCTTGAGAAAAGCCTTCTATTGGTTACAATGGGAGGCTTCTTTCCAATGTAATCTCAGTGTGGAGGGGCACATGGGCACCACATGCTACGTTACATACTTATCTAGATGATAGCTCAGTCAGTAGAGCACAAGACTCTTAATTGGAGGGTTGTGGGCTTGAGCCCCTCATTGGGCAGAGGATTCCTGCATCGCAAGGAACTGGACCAGATACCCCTCATGGCCCTTTCCAACTCTACAATTCTATGAAGAATCCATCTCCTCCATCTTCATTACCAAATGACCAAAGTTTCAAATGAAATCTCAAATGAAGTTTTGTGTTGTGGGCAGTAGTTCAAGGCACAACAATGCCTATTGCTTCATATTGTACCAATACCTGGCAAACATTTCTAATAGTCTGTCAGAGCTGGCTCCAGGTCCCAGCTCACAGAGGACCAACGCTAGCCGGTAGTAATGTACAAAAGTCTTTATTGAAGTACAGTTTCCATTTTCAAGCCGCAGCGCCCAGCTCTACGTCTAGGGGCTAGACCGGCGAAGCTCCATCTGAGTCTCCACCCCCTGTACACCAACTTAAGACTCTAACCTTACTCCACCTCTTCCGTCTCTCCTTTCTCCTCTGGGTCCTTCTGCCCCCCGGGGTC